AAATGAGCCACCTTGCTCTGTCAACAGAGTGGTTGCTGTGAGAAGAAAGCCAAGATGAAGACGTCATTTGTGTATAGTGTCATCGCCAGAGAAGCAGCCAATAGAATTTAGACCAACTAAATTTGGGCTTGTTTCATGGGTGGTGCTTGTCAAACATTCACAAGAGGCAAGAACCTGCTATGCAGCTGTGGTCTTTGGAGGTTTGCAGAGTTAAAATGGGAAAGTCAGGGGTCTGCAGCGGGATGTCTGCAAAAATCCAATACATGTTCCAGTAAAACTCAATACATAATTTCATTCATCTGTGGGCGTAATCTAATTCTGCAATCTAGATCACATACAGACCTCCAGAGGCAAAAACACAAAATGGTTTCCTCTACAGGTTTCCATCCATGGTTGTAACATTATACACCATTTAATGACTGTCCAAGGGAATCTGCAATTTCCTATTTACATACAGAATCCGTTAAGTTTTCGTGTGGAATGTTCGACATAATTTTCAGAGGAGAACTTCAAAGTATGTCATTTTAAGGCTAGAGACTTCTGTGATGACAAAGATATCAAAACAAATTATACTACTATACTATTATAATTTTTTTCTTTCTTCAAGCAATTAAATATTTGTTTGTAGATATTTTGGGATGGAACAGTAAAGCAGCTGTTAAACATACTGTTTTTGTTACATGCATTGAAACAGTCACATTGTCGAGATAGTCACAAGCTTCAGAGACAGTGAATGGAGGGAGCGAAGACAGTCCACATGTAAGATAGTCCCCATGAAACCCCATTTATTCCAATGAAGGGGAAAACTGTGGCAAGACCCATAGCATTGTATCCATGCATCACATATGGTATATACAAAACCTAATCTATGACTTCTTGTTTTAATTTAGAGTGACCTGTCGAATAAACATTTAGACATGCTTAAACCGTTTAAACATTTCAAAGGGATTACAAAGGATGGAACCAGACAGATTTCTCCAGAGAAAATTGCTATGGTCGATCAAAGGTTATGACTCCTGTTGAAAGGGTCATTTTTCAACATGTTATGGATTACAGTTACTGTGAAAATTATTACAGCGTTAACTCAGAAAAACAAATGTAACAGCAGATATAAATATTAAGAGAGGACTGGTTCCACTTCGTAGTGTTAATATTGCTAGAATTATTATCTACCACTTAAACTTACAATTTATCATAGTTAAAACGCAGATGGTTACGAAACATAAAAGACATTCACCTTCACTAGGATGTACAGTGTCTGTATACTGTTATCCTCCTAACCCGCTGATGACCTAATGAACTAAGCGAAGCTTCTATGAAGCTAAAGTTTCAGTGGAGTAGCTCCACTGGCCCAAAACATCTCAAAGCAATGTGCACTGACCCTTAGAGAGACGTGTTTACTTACGAAAAAGCTAATGGAAATTCTAATAAATAATGAAAACACACATAACATAGCGGGTATATATGGTGTCTTATACGAGAGCTTTAAAGGATATGTGCACATGTAAGATTCTTTGGGTCTCGTGAAAATAGTTGCGGCTGTATGTAGGCATTCTTTCTGTATGGATGTGGGAGCTGGGGAAGACTCCTGCATGCAGAACAGATGTTTTGACAAACTGAAAATACTGTTTAGTGCAATAGACAACACTAACTATGTTAACCTATTCCAATGGATGAACATTTTTATTTGATAGAGAAGCGATATTCATGCTTTGCTTCAGGTAAAAAAAATAATTGAATCTGTGTCCTATACACGACAACACTATGAACAACTTTGGCATAAAATATCTTGGGCACTTTATTCAATGTACCCCAACCCTTACAGCAGTTATGCAACTAATTCAATCAAAGAGGTCATTCATTAATACACATACTCCAGATAACCTATATAAATGAGTGATACTGTGAGATTCATGTGTTCAGAAGTGCAGCTGCACATACAGTACCAAGCCTGACACTTTCTAGGGTTCACTCGGAGGCCTCGTTGTGATGCTTCCAGCGTCCCTGCTGCTGCTGACGATGATAAGTTTTTAGAAATCGGAAGTGGCATATCTTTAATTCTGCTTTTATCCTCAGTCGAGGAGACACACTGCACTTATACAGGACCGGCCAGGCCAGTGCTAAGAGTGGTTCACCACCTGTTTCTGACATGTACCTTGGTACTTTTAGTGTAACTTTCATTTAATATTAAGCAACTCGGCTCTACAGTAGAGCATTTTGACAACCTTTATCAATAAGTAATACGAAGACATAAATATTCCCAAACTTCCTGGAGACAAACCACACTGAAGTTGAGGGTCTAATGTGTAGTAGAGTAACAGAAAGCTCAGAAATGTAAATTATTTTCCTAATTGAATTTTTTTTTTTTTGTGAAATATTCACAGTGGCACAGAAATGTAGATATACTCTCTTCACAGTTATCTGTGGAAACACATTGAGTCTTTACTAGAATGTGTAAATAAGTTGTTCATTCCTTGACGGTCTAAACCTGTTTCATCACAGCACAAATAGCTTGTATTAGTTTTAATATAAATATGTTTCCAAGATTCAAACTCCCATATCTGAGACTAAGATGAAGTAAAAGAAAAAGCATGGGAACATGAAGAAATGAAAAATAAACTCCAGGAAGAGACCCCTACGGTTCTTGAGCAAATGTTTGGTTAGGGTTTGCCCTCTTGAACTCTCCAGTTGTTGAGTGGGCTCACTATGAACATGTCGTTTCCCACTTTATTTTCAACAGTACAAGATGTGATACTATTACCTTATGTTAGATTAATGAGAACAAGCAATATTACTTTGTTCAGGAGCTTGAGCAGCATAGAGGCAAAGAAACAAAGAGGTGGAGTCTGTCATTCCTTTCATGGTTTGTCATGAAATTTAGTTTCATCTTAGCAAAGATTGCTCATGAGTCACTGAACACGAAGCTTCTTCAGTGACACAGCCATGAGTCAGATGATAATATGCACACACGGGCATGGTAACACTCATAATGACCATGTAATTTCAAACACACTGATGTATTACAAACAATATACACACTTAGAAAACCAGGTCAGGTAAAATGTTCTTTGAACCCACAACTGAGTTCAGTGCTCTGACTATGACTCCCTAGAGACTGAAAATTTTCAGTGCCGGTGGAATTTAATTCATTGATTGAATTAAGATGTTTTCACCCAGACAGACGATTTCAAAGCCTTGTTAAGACTAAAGAATTCCCCAGCTTGTCATAAATAGACTAAATAGTAGAGCCTGACCGATGTGTTTTTTTTAAGGCTGGTGCCAACACTGATAATGGGGAATAAAACATTTCATACTGATATAAAATTAAGAAAAATGGCAATGATTCCTCAAAAGTCATTATCACATATTTATGAAAAAGAAATGTAACTGAGGCTTGATATCTTAAAGTTTAACCATGAACTTTATGAACTAAAATACAAATAAATTACAATTAAACTACATTTAAATTTGACATATTCTGATGTAAAATGTTACAGCAAACATCGATATGTCTTTGAAAGGCACATATCAGCTGATATATCAGCCAGGCTTTAATAAATAGCATGTGTAAATGTGTGTTTAACCTTTTTTTTTTGCAATGGAGACTAAATTCTTTTTTAGCTCTATTACAAATGCAAATAAGAAACTCCATCTTTGTGTAAGGGTTTGTCTTAATGTGTCTTGTGTAGGTGCATGCATGACAAAGGCAGAGGGAATGCAACAACACAAAACAGACAGTGAATTTCCATATGCTCAAATGCCGATAGAAGTAGACACAGTATGACATCAACTGTAATAACATCAGCTTCGTCCGTCACCCCAACCAACTCACTTCATGAAAGTCATTCATTGTGAACTGAAATAGCCCACCCAACGTGGTGCAGAAAAGGCCTTTGGGCGACATGTATCTCATCCCTCGGTCCCTATAAGCCGGTCTCACGTGTCACCAGTGTTTGCAAACAGTTCAGAAAAGTCAATACTTCCAGAGACTGATGCAATGACGGGTCAAATATGGCAGAGGACACATCACGCTAAGACCGGTAGGAAAGTGTGGGCAGTTCACAGACTGGATTAAATTGGCTACGTTATGAAAGCCAACAAAGAGATCAGTGTTGTCGGGCTTAAAACAAGCAGCTACCATTTAAAATATCAATAAGATTAGTGCGTTTCCGTGACTATTGCGACTTGTGCTCAAGTGTAACCAATCCATACTAATTAGCTAAACTAAGTTAGACTGATTCAGGTGGAGTCATAGGTTTGGTTTTGGGTCTGAGTCTGGTACTAGGACTTTATCTTTTTTCCCACTGTTGAATTCACATCAGCGAAGAGCAGCAGCACTGGTGGTCTAAGCTCGGAAAAGCAGATGACCCTCTCACAATATTAGTTCTCCTTCAGAAACATTAACTAGACCTGAGCAGATGAATCATGAGTGTGTATGCATGAGGGGAGTAAGATTCCAGGTTTTTGAAACGTGAGTGATGCACGGGGGAATGCTAGCCATAACGGCCCATTCTGTGAGGGACTGTGTAGTGGTGTAGCACGGCTAGCAACAAGGATGACAGAAAGAGAGAGAGGTGGAGACGACCCTAGTTGTGCTGTATTTTATTCCTGCCTCCACGAGCAGTGATTAATTCTGTCCTGAGGGGAGGTGGTGACACGACCTACAACATGACATTTCTACTACCGTACTACTGCAGCCTGTCTGACGGTAGAGTGGCAAACTGTTAGGCTGGGACCACACCTCAGCTGTGTGTGAGACGGTGAACGACTTGGTTTTCATTTCACTGCTCATGTTAACAGGTTAGAGTAGACACAGCCTTAAATTAATATTAATAAACGCTACACCACTTTTTCTGATTGAGACACTCATGTCAAGTTTTATGAATCTGTGGAAGTTCATGTGCTTCTTTGTTGAAAACAAAGTGAACTTGATCGCAGTTAGTGATGCTTGAGGTGTAATAAAAAAAAAAACACAACAGCCACGTAACAGGCGTGGTTACCTGGTTTGGCGTCCTTGCGGCAGGCTTGTCCTGGTGGTTGGAGAGAATGAGGAAAGGCAGTGTGCAGAGCTGTGGGTGCTGCAGGGCCGAGTGCAGCTCGTTCCGCGCCGCCTCCAGGTCTTCATCTGATGACGCGCTGTCCAATACAAAGACTACTCCCTGTGACCCCTGGTAGTAACGACTCCAGTATTTCTTGATGTTGTCAGCTCCTGTAGACAGACGTTAAAGTGGTCAGCTTCTATGAAGAGTCATTGGCATAACATGGGGTACTATTGTCATACGAGGTGCTAACAAGAGGAATACCTACAGAGTCTGTGCTTTATAATTATAAAGGCTTGTAAATGCTTTTGCTCCCCTTTTTTCATTTTAACAAAAAAAATATTTGTACAATTATTTTATTAGAATTAACATTGTTGGCAAAATATTTGACTTCAGAACATATAAATTACAAACTGCAGAAATACAATTCCATTCTGGACCATTAGAAACAAAGTGCGGCAAATAATTAAATTAAGAAGCATGACAATCACCAATAATTAATCATTTCTTTCATTAAGAAGCATTTTACCTTACATCTATTGTTGCTTGTTAAAACTAACATATTAAAATGTATGTGTCATGTTGAGGCAACATAATCATGTCACGTACAATTTTAAAACAGTATTTCCCCATCTTGCTTTATGCAAAACCAAAACCACCAAGTTTTGCAGGATCAAGTACTTTTTATGCCAACTTTTTTTTTTTGTTCATCGGGTCATTGTTAAGACACAGGCGTGATCTCCACAGTCACAGACCGTAAAGTAAAAACACATCGTCACTGAACCATTCAAACTGAGTCTGGGCTTATTTTCAAGGCTGTGTACCCAGACATGGAGTTCATTCATTGTCAACAACATATGGTTCCTTCTTTTTTAATGCGAGAACTTGAATCAATCACATCCGCTAACAATGGTTTACATCACTGCAACTTCATGTGAGACTTGAGGAAGGGACCTGCTTGCTCACAAAATGAGTCAGTCGTGTCCTTTTTATCACCACCTCCCTCTGTCACCACTACCGGCCATGCAACCTTTCACTCTATGACAGTGTAGGCGATGCTATTGAAGACGGTAAAAATTATAGAAAAACGCCCTTTCCTCTTATTCTCACGAAAAACTTGTTTGCATTGTCTTCAATCTTACTTCAATCTTTGGCCCTTTTCCTACTGAAGCCAAATATTTCTTCAGCCACTGTGTCCCTCTCAGTTTACACCTGTTCACAATCCTGAACTCAAAAAGAATCTGAGGCTGCAACAAAAATCTTGATGTCTCATCTGCAAATTAACCACAATATACTTGTCATATCCTCCAGCATGCTCCTTTAGCATCGGGACATTCTCCTGAAATTTTCTGGAGGGGCTGTTTGTGAGAATTAGCTGCTGCAATTATGTCCCATAAATTCACAGTGACTGATTGGGCGTGTTGATGACATTTCTAACACATGATGTAAAAGACGACGTCGAAGATAAGGGCTGACAAACACTGACACTAAGTGTACACGTCATATCCTGCATCCTGCTGCTTTACCCAGGCTCCTCACATGGATGTCCTGGACAATCTCCAACGAAAAGTGTCCTCAGAATTGTGTCCTGACATTTTCTGGAGTTTGTGTTTGGAAACAACTTTAATTTAGAAAGTGCAGACTTTCAAGTTAACAGGAGGCAAGTTTTGAAAATCCAGAGACAGATTTAAGTTGGAGTGTCTTGTCACTTTCAGTACGGAGGCAGCAGCAACAACACAAAATGTAAAGAATATTCTGAAAAAGTTCCAGCCATAAAATGCAAGGTGTTTGTTACAATACTTGGAGTATATAACAAAATTCCCACTCCCGTCACCTAAACATCAAAGTGTAGATTTTTGTAATTATATTTGCTGACATAAAATAAACGTCTCATCTTCTGCTGTTACTCTATGATTACATTTCATTAACTCAGCTGCACACTCTTCTTTCCCCCAACATGTTTTCCATTAAATAGTTCTAAATGTTTGTTCTACACACTCAACAAACTTGTTGACACCATGAACGCACAACTACAAAGGGGATTTTTATGTACTTCATGTGCAGAAACAAGTATGTGCTTTGAGAGGACGTACAAGCTCTGGTTAAAATTATGCTCCTCCGTCTGGTGAGGTTACTTCCTTTGCAATCGTGTGAACTGTTGTTTTGTTATTGTTGCTCATAGTAAGGTAATTGCCAAGTAGTGACGAACTGTGAGGCTGGCAAATGTTTAAACATCACGAAGTGCTCTCAGTGACATTTACCTCCCTTCCCTCGTGCTGTCCCCTCCCTTCCTTCTTTCCTCCCCCACTCTTTCTACTCACACCTCTCACTGGAGTGGAAAGCTATCAGACAAAGTGGCACTTGAGAGATTGACTAGGAAGTTTCTCTCATCTTTGCCTGGAAATGGTGGAATGTCCGTCATGTCTTGGATCTCATTGGCAACTTCTGCCATCTATTGGTCTAACAGGAGGATTTTCAAACACGACGTCATGATTCTTGGGGGATGCTGGCAGCCCTACTACATATCATTAATCAAATAAGTGCAGGATGAGTAAGACATCATGTCTTTGCTTGTTTTTCTGTCTTCCTTTCTGCTTTGCTGCCCTTTGACTCCTGCGAATAAATCCACGATAAATGGCTTCTAATTTTAGAACATTTTTTACTACACTCAAACCATTATGTGTTCCAGTGTCACTTAAACACAGTAGTAACCGTGTTAGTATGATTCTATTGAAGAAAAATTTCATGATCTCAACATTTGACTCAGTGATGTCACGTTTATATAAATCTGATTTGAGGAAAACACCTTTCCCTGCCCACCCGTCACACCTTCTCTCATTACACAAACTATTTCAATCTTCTGTTGCAGATGAGGATGAAACAATGAATGCAATTAACCAATCAATGCCCTGTAGAGAATACATCAATATATAAAAATGGTTTCAGATCTGGGAGACATGAATCTTAATGGCTGTACTCAAGGCAGATGTACATTATGTTGTAAAGCTACAGGGTACTGTAATGTGTTAAGCACAGCAGCATGTACTTCACACTCACTACTGCAGCCAACCCCCCCTGTCCATAAAATACTTCTGAGTAAGATTAATTAGTGATGATGGACTTTCAAACACTTTGTGCTTGTCAGTTATTTTTCAATCAAAAATAACAAATATCACTTCCAGAATTTGAGTTGTGAGGATTTTGTGCTTTTCTTTGTAATTTTGGGGTTTTGAACTGTTGCTTATAAAAAAAAAAAGCAAATCTATTTTAATAAACTTCTGATATCAACATATCAGCGGAGACATTTTTTTTTAATTGACAATGATTCCTAGGATGACATCATCAAACATATATGACAAAGAAATGTAATTGAGGCTTGATATTTTGCAGTTGAACCATGAACTATATTATAAACTTTAAATGTTATGATAAATACTGGGTTTGTTTCCTATCTTAGGATTTAATGATTGTGCTTAAATGATGTTGCTTTAATCCAGTAATATTTACATTACTTAGTTTACTTTATGATAGGAAAACCTCCAGTACAATGTTTCAGCTCACACAGGCTACAATTTGATTTTGTTTAGGTACTCATTTGGTTTCAAGGACACTGTTTGAGACAAACAAAAATCAAGCTGAGGACATGAAGTAGAAATATGGAGAACAGTACATGCTGTCAGAGTCAGCAGGTAAGTGAAGAGAATGGAAAAACCAGCAGACATCTGCTGCTCACACAAGCAGTGACAACATTCCAGTGATCGGGTTTCTTCTCCTTTCAACAAAGTGTGACTATGAGTTAATCAATTAAGCTTAGAAGAAAAAGTCAGTAAAACATAAGTAAACCATTACACAGCGAGAATTAAGAGCAGATGAGTCCTGGGCTTGAATTCAGATTCACTTTCGGATGTGTTTGATGGCTGGTGTTTCTGAAATCATCTCCAAATTCAAACAGTTTGTGATCAACCACTATTTTTCATTTGAAGCTTCTTCATAGTTTGTTGTTGGGCAATAATGAAGATCGGTTTCACTTTCACAATCAGCTCAAACACAACTCTAATATTTTTCTGTGTCTGCCAAAATTGTTCACTTTTGCCAGCTTTTACCTTACAATATAAAACATCAACATGTTGCTAATCAGGTCTTTTTTCATTCTTGAAAGTTGAAACACTGAACGCAACTCTCTTTGAAGTCTCCCTAACGCAAAGCAGACAGTGTTTTTTCCCTGAACAAAACAGCTACAATGGAGTGATGGGAGGGAGGGCTGGGAGCAGTGAGGGAGGCCTTGAGTAATAAAGTTTGCTTACTTCATTGAGGAATGAGCTGGGGCTGGAGCGAGGTGAAAAACACTTCAGCTGTTGATACACCCATCAACTTGTAGTCTCAGCACTGTCTTTTTAAGCAAACAGTTCCTGTGAGAGGCCGAGCTCAAAGCATTCACCCTTCCCTCTCGTTTATGCACACCATTATACACATTACTGACAAAGATGCTTTGCAGAAATGCAGCACCTCTGAATATTTGAGATAAATAAGATGAGTTACTATGTGAAAATAATGTGGCTGTATTTCTGATTTGACAACAGACCACTCCTCTCCATTGGGAGAGTAATTTTCATAATGTGCCACTTTGGCTGGTACAGCGGCTTTCACTTATAGACAAGTTATATGTCTGGTTGAAGTAATAATTAATCACAACACTCTTGCTATTTATATAACACTTTAATCAAGCCTCTAGATCATATACCCCACTGCTTAACCCTATATGAACAAAAAAAGCTTAGTGTACAGTTATAGGCCGCTTGTTATTGTACATTTGACCGACCACAATGCAAATGCAACTTCAAACCACACTGTTGGTTGAGGTTGGATTGATACTTTTATGATATTAATGGGCTGCCCCTTACAGTGTCTGTGATGCACCATTCAAGCCGCATCAATGAGAAAACCAACATCAAATAGGGTCATATCCTTGAATGAGGCCTGAAATAGAGATCAGTTACACTGCTGTCCTCAGAACTCCATGCAACCATCTGCTTTAAACCCAAATGACAATTTACAATTTCACTTTTGGTCAGATCCTTTTCCTGTGCAAAGGAAAAGCTGCCCTGCTGGGCAGAGTAGCACACACTGTGGTCCTGTTTGATAGAAATAAGAACCACATTGGGTCTGAGATGACTAAAACGTAGTGGTTTTCTTCTTGGATGTTCAAATGCTTCCTTTGCCTGCTGGTGGCCAAAGACGACTGGTAAAAATTCAGTGTTGTTCTTGCATCTTCCTCGTCTTGCCTTGTTTTCTCTGTGTACGAACCATAGACTGTATATAAAGAACGAACATAATAGACTTGTAGACTGGAATGATTTGATGAACTCAAAAACTGAAGTGGCACATTCAAATTTGCATCATTCTCATTTTCAGATTAAGAATATTATTTTGTTCATTTAAAAATTAAACCATGCAAACATTTGAATTGGCAATAAGGCATCTTTTACTATTAATCATCTAATTTTCACTATGTTGTAAAATTGCAAAGCATTAGAAAACCAGATAATGTTAAAACAGGAGCACTACATGTGCACACATGTATCACTGTACTCCAAATCAAGTCTCTATTTTGAGCAGCAACACTAAAGAACAACAGCAACGAGTGGTGACTATTAGGACCACTTCTTCATCAGCTGTCATTGTGTGACATAAATGCACACTGTGAAATGGCCCGTCTAGACTTGACGTCATGTCACTGTCCAGACTTATACGCACACATACACGCACTTAATAGATCCTGCATCCCCGGAGGTGCCCTTCCCGCTTAGACCTCATACCTGGCACCAGCAGGGTAGCAAATGCTTGTTTGAATAAAGACCACCAGATGCAAAATTCTCAATGTCAATCACTTTATTCAATTAGAACGAAAAGTGCGTTGCTCGTTGATAAATGAAACGATGAAGCTCTTTGTGCTGGGTGTGATGCACAATTCACTGTGTATTTGTATTTTCTTCGTGATATAATTTTCTCACCACTGAGAAACTTGCACAAGAGGTCACAACAAGTGCACTGATAAAGAACAAAAAATTATTTTCTTTCTTCCACAACACTCAACAAAAGAACAGATGATCTGATACTGATGCTAATTTAAAATGCTGGATCAGGTATTGTTTTTGTTTGTTTTTTTATCAAGTTGCTGGTACACAATTATTTATTTTTTAAATAATAAATGACTATAAATAACTAATACACAAAGTTATGCTAAAGTCAAGTCTGACGTTGCCTCACTCATGAATGAATGATCCCTGTCTCTTCCACACAGTGATGGACACACTGACATAGATAGACACTGGTATCAGATATTCTCTCAGGCAAAGGTATCAGTATCGGTATTGACACTGAACAAAGCTGGATCTGTGCATCCCTACTTTTAAAAAATACCCTAAAACAAATCTCTAAACTACGACTGACACATTTTCAGTGCATTAGTCTTGTGACAGTGCAGCATGATGAGGGTTTTGCCCTCTGAGTGAAGACAGACTGAAGTCAGACCACACAGTTTGTCTTTTAGCATGCACATGTTTAAACAGACTGCTGTTCAGCTGTGGAAACCAACTTATTTATTTAAGTTTACATTTTAGTCAGACTGGTTTTAATTAACACACTGTGATACTTTTTCTGTTTATAACTTGCGTGCACATAAAATCTGGGTTAGAAACCCTGTTATCCATATGCAACACCAAGAAATTACATTTCTGCAGAAAACAATAGACTGGGTTTTATGCATGTAAATATGTTATTTAAGACACTCAAGGAGACAGAGCTTGACTGAAGCAGTGAAGCCTGAACAAGAGGCAAATGAAAGACAAAGATAATTTAACCAAAAGCAAAATCTAGAAGCAATGGTAAGAAGGGACATAGGACGAAAGGAGAGGCAGAGAGCAGAGACAGAAAGCAGAGCTGAAGATGAGTAAGGGAACAAATGAAAACAAGATGGCAGGGACCTCAATGACAAATGCATGAGTGAGACAAACGTATAGCTCAGTCTGAATCTCACTGGCATCGTACATCAGGGCTTCCTGCACAGGCTGGTTTGTGCCTCTGGTTTAAAGGACAGCTTGCACTTACAACAATCTGGCCTAGTGCACTCAGAGCAGGGAGAGTTAAAAATGCATTACCCTGCTTAGCAACAATACAAGTTACAGTTGTGAGTCAGCCACACTTACATGGGCTCATAGCCTGAAACCTTTAAACGACTGAGACAGACATGGCTCCTCGGCCAGTTCCGACTACCATGTTTCCAGCTGTTTGCTGTACGCTAAATTTCTCTGCCTGCCAGAGGTGTTGACCTTTGAACTTGCTCTCCCATGTGCCTCCATCCTGTTCAACTTAAGCCACTTTTGTCTCTCAGATGAAATCGGTTGAGCAATAATCAATGTTACCCAGCCAAACAGATAAGAACTCCATAGAAAAATGTGAGAAAGTAAATGATTGTGAGGAAGGGATTAACGTGTTTTACCTTAGCCTATGCTTTAACAGCATTTGGTGCTTTAAACTTTCTTCTCAACCTCCGGTACTTAAGATTACCTGTATATGCAAGACTTGCTTTACATTTCATACTATAAAGGGAGAATACCTCATTGACATTCAATGGGCTTTGCGGTGGGAGAGGAAGGAAATACATGGTAAGTGCTTCACTTCTTCACGCTCCTCAACAAGCTTCTTCCCTTGCCTTAGTCAAGGCTGAGTGAAAAGAACAAGCCACAAAGGTATTGTGTAAAACAAGCTTTTTTTGAGGTCAAGAATACTGACGTCTGTGCGTCACATCTTGTATCATTTTTCTGCATCATTGATGCAGTGCAAAATAACACTAAACCAGGCATGTTTTACAGACATAGGCGAAGCAGAGAGAAAAGAGTAAGGTACTAACAGTGGAGAAGGAGAATGCTTTAATCAGAAAACGAATGTTACGAAAGCAGTGAAATATTACGCAAGTGCACCAACTCTCCTGACTCCACATTTACATCATTTACATTTGGAAGAAGTATATGCCTTCACTCAGCCAAACAAGGGGGCTGCATGTCAACAACCCACCTCAGACAGGAACCTTAATACAACACTGCGCTCCTCGTGAAAACTAGTCACCAGAGGCGTCAAAACATCATGTGCTTGTTTTCACCCTCTCCAAAATATCTGTAATGGATGGCACCGTAAATCGCTAAGATTCTTGTGCTCTGTGTATTTACGAGAAAAGGAGCTGGCTAGTGAGGGTCCAGGCGGGGGGGGCAAAAAGAAAAAGAGAACAGATTTCATCACCCTTTGCTGTGGTGGCAGTCTACACTAACTTCTCTAAATCAAACGTGTCATCCGTGGGACCAGTGTTTTTCCAACCACAATAATGTCCCATCAGACTGGCTTTGACCCAATCCAGAAAAACCTCTTTTCAAAACCCCCTAATACGCTCTGTCCAAATTTGGTAGCACCCTCGTTGGTGGTCCCCTGGTGCCTCTTTGTGTGTGTCTGTCTGTGTGTGGGTGAGTGTGTGTGTGTGTGTGAGAGAGAGAGTGTTTTCATCTTTTCAGGAGGCTAGGTTGGGTGAACTTTCAAAATAAGCACTGCACCTGCCATGTGCCCATAGCAGAAAAATACATAAATTATTTTAACTGTCAAAATAACAATAAATTTTCCCGTGTCAGTAAGTAGCTAGTAGGACAGAGAGAAAGCACTCATCTCTCTCTTCTAAGCCCCCCCGCCTGCATTGGCTCTGTTTACGTATCTCCACCTCAAGATCCCTCATCTGTGCTTATTAAACAGCTCCCTCGAGTGCTGCACATTTCCAGGAATAACAGGGTGCAGGTTGTACAGCCACTTTAAAATCCACTAACAAATCTGACGTCTGTACACAAATGTCCACATCTGAACGAAAGGTGTGATGCTACTGGAGGTAAAAAAAAAAAAAACGTGTTTTTGCATCTATAGCGTACACAGTTATTTGTATAAACAGTTACTGTTGATAAATGACAGAGATCATATCAGAACAAGTTTCCTTGAATCTTTACCAAGGCAAATCTGTACAACTTTTTTTTTGGCTGACCCATAAGAAAATCATTAGCTGGCAACTTTTACTTCACAGAAGACAGATTAACCAATAAATTCCCACTGGGGATTTAATGTGGGGAAAAGGGAATTGTCAGATTAAATGAAATCTTAATTGACAATGTGCTGCATCTCTTACCTCCAAGTTCTTTTACATTCAAGATGGCATTTGGGAATGGCACTGCTTTGATGCTGAAACCTGAGAGAAGAAAAATTGAAATCCATCATTGCAATGACATCAAGAAATTAAGTTTGTGCGAGTGTGTGTGTGTGTGGACGGCACATGTTAGGAGAGAGAGAGAGAGTCAACCTTTAGGAATGTTGGCTGAATGGCTTTTTAATAATGAGAAAAAGGGACTGGAAAAAAAAAATCTGACGTAAAAAATATCCACTTTATCATTTAGTCTCTGTAGGAGATGATGTACCTTTTCCAAACTACCAGCTGGAGAACACAAAGAGGACTGTCAACATCATTGTGTTGTAGAAAGGAGGAAAATAACACTTTGTGGGGTCCGGGGTAAAAACAGAAAAACAAGTAAAGCTGAAGTGTTTTGTTCTACGTCGGAGGTAGAAGAAGACTGTGCTGACGTCTAAAGTGCTACCATGTATCATGTGGTGTGTTTTATGCGGTGACACACAAATGAAAATAGTTAAGACAACAGTGAGGATTAACATTCAACTCAAATCATGCAAAATTGGCTTGAGGGGAATTCCTTTTGTGGTAATATTCAAAAACAGGAGGAGGGATGGGGGCAGATTATGATCTTAACATCTGAATTAACAGTTAAATGTGGGATTTAAGCACATTACAACATACAAAATCATGAAGTAAGAAGAGGGTGGAGCCACAAGAGACTTCCCCCTCGTTGTTCTTCATGATCTTTTCTCTGTTGATGTTGGCAGATGCAAACAGTGTTGACAGCTAAGTCTTATTTCAGTGAAGTTCACTAAAATAATTCCCTGCTAAGGTAAATAATCGGCATGTTTTATCAATTAAGGTAGGCGTTGACAGGTGTTCGCTCCGTTGAACCACCGCATGCCACAGGGACGTACACGCTAACAGTTGCAGGCAGCACATTTGGGAATTATTTTATTATGTTGAACGTGCACATGACTAAACCTAAAATGAGATTTTCTGCAACGGCTCAAAGCTGACTGCTGACAAAGCCAGGGGAGGAAAGAGGAATGTCAATGTCCTTGAGGGATCTCTTTGTATATGGAATGCACAGCGTTGACTACCAGGAGGATGATGTACTAACCCAAAAGCCTCCTCTTCTGGACATACTTAACATCAGCCTCCCACTTGACTAGAGGAAAGAAGCTGAATATTGGCTAGTGAGATACAGCGTGAGTGTTTCTGGCATAAGAGCTGGGGCTTTGAAAGACATATTGGAGACTTGCTTCCCCCTATTGGCGTGCAGTAATACCCAGACAAAATTATCTATCTGTGAATCTAATCCAGAGGACAACTTGTTCTAGAAACATGCTTTTCAGAAGCTTGGAAAACGTGCAAGTACAAGCATGAGGAAAGTGACATGTATATCTATGGAGGGTGAGTGTTTCACACTGAAAACCTTTTTTCCACTGATCCACACGTTATGCTCACCTACCTGTTGTAGGAACGATGCCGTCACTGCCCTCACTACAGAGGCGTGAGAGCAGGCTGGTCTTTCCAGCACCTGTCAGGCCAATGCACACCACATCATACTCGGGTCTTGGCGGCGGGGGTCCTTTACAGCACAGTGCCCGGAAACACTAAAACAAAACAAACAAAAGAATGATTGCATTGTAAAACAAATAAAATGCCCCCCAGGGAAGATGGGCTAGATTAAATTAGGATTTGGGATGACAACACATTGTGCAACTCTTAAAATGAATTATCTTGGAATAAACACTGGTTTCTTTCCAGCTCTGCAGGAAGAGTCTCGTGGGCATTACAGCTGTCTTTATATGATGAAGCATTTAACCCAACTCCATGTCAAAGGTCTGAAAAATTCCAGACTCTCAGCTGATTTAAGAAGAAAAAAATGTTTATTCATGTTCCAGTTAATAAGAAGGAATGAGAGCAATGACAAGAATAAAACCGCAAGAGGTCTGACTTGCATGATTTCATGCAATTATGTCATAAAGTGTTAAAGTCTACATGAAAAGAGATGTGGAGGGAAATGGGGGCGTTACATGCATGCACCTTAGCACTGGTGCAACATGTTTTTGTCTGCAATGTCTGTGTGTGTGAGTGGACCCTGTCTGATTGGGCCCTTATGGCTGTCAGAGGCAGACCTGTCACTCCATGAATCACAGCCTGGGACTGAGGGCCTGCTGTGAGACATTAAGGGGCAAATGCAGTGTGAACCGTGAATGAGATCTTTAAACCTGTGTGGGGAGATCGGTATCCAAAACTAAAAAGAGATCTCTTTTATTAGCAAGACAGGAACCAGTCTGGACAAGGCAGGGCAGACACACACACGCACGCACGCACGCACGCACGCACGCACGCACGCACGCACGCACACACTCTCCCATATACTATATCACATTTCAGGTGGAAGAACACCAACACAGGATTACTTAGTGCTCATGTCAGAGACCGACCCTGCACAACCCACTGCTCCTCTGTTCAATCAAAGACTCTGACAGGAAGGAAAACACATGGACAAGTGTACATGAACTGCTGCACATCTGTGCACACATTCCCCAGGTGTGCTTTGGCATGCCACTAAGTATTAAGTATACCTCAGTGCGGAGAAGCAGATATAAACAAACGAGAGGATAAACAAATAATCTTCGTCAATGGTGGAGAACATTTGGCAAATGTTCAAGTTTTAGGTTTGGTTCACAACTACAAAGATTCCTACTGAAATCTCAAATTTAAACTGGAGCTCACATCTTGACAACAAGCATTTACCCCAGTAAAGCAGAGAATGTTACAAGATGCAACCATCATTTCTTTCAGATTCTAGAAGAACAAGACGGCAGCAAAGTTTTTTCCGGTCTCCATTCTCCCGCAGACCCCCAGACGAACGTGACCACCAGGGTCAGTTTTCAGAGCCGTGCCAAAACAGAGCTGCTGTTTGATGGAGATGTGGGGAATCTTCTTCAACAGAACCAGACGTTGGCTGAGCAACCCGACCCCCCGACTCCTCGGTGAACCCAGCAGTCTACTCAAACAGGAAACATTCCCCTCTCCAGAAAAACGGTAAGATCAGAAACACATTTGTGTCAAATAGGGGAACACATGTAAAAACTTGGTCTGATGAGGTCATTCTATTCTCTTCCTTGCTCTTTTCGCCCCCCGATATACCTTCCCTCAAGCTACATGTAAAGATTTGAGAAAGTGAAATCTGCTGTCAGTGCTCTAAGCGTTCAGGAAGCAAATGGTTAGGGCGAGGAGATGTGAAGGAAGTGGAGTAGATATTTAACTGCTATGAGTCGTACAACTCTTATTTATTTTCCCTGGAATGAAATTAAAAATATTATTGTTCGACCAGATGTACATGACTAGGAGGGCAACAAAAAAGGTTGCTGCTGCAGTTGGAAATGTGGAAACAGTCAGACAAGACAGCTCCCACCTCTCTCCCTCCACGTAGAATTCAGATTTCACAACCCTTACTGAAGGAGCATCCAGGGCCTGACCCTTCGGTCCCCACGTACACAGTGGCCCCTGTGAGAGAGAGAAAGATGGGCGCTCCCACCCCTGGACCTCTTTGACAGCACAAGATTGACGAGGAGAGTTTGGTCAAAAGGCAGAGGAGAAAATAAATATGTCCAAAGGCCTTTGCTTACTTCAAGCCAGGCCTGTTAACTACATACTCAATGATCAGTTGTGCTGTGTCACTGAGGCCGAGCGCTCAAATCAGACTCTGTTCTATGATGACTGCTTCCATTACTTTTTAAGGCAACCAGACAAACAGCTGTGATTAAAACTGGAAATTTAATTGAACATCATCAATTCAACAGTTCTCCGAATGTTGTCTGAGTGACATTCACACAACATGGAAATGACTGAGATATAAAAGTAACCTCACGATGTGCCAGCTTTGCTTCCTTGTTTTTTAAGCTACCGATAAACCACTACCATGAGGCCACCTGTGCATTAAAAAGGCAATTTAAAAAAAAAAACTTGCCTCTCCTTGCCAGAGCACTCTCCATAAAAAGTCTGCCATTCCTAGACTTTATCGATTGGTCGCCTCTTATAGGATTGGACATGTTTTAATTGTGCTTCACTGAGAGACCTGCCAAGACATTACCTCACTGTTGTTGCGAAAGCTGATTAGCTTGGCTTTATGTAAATGAGAAACACTGCCGACGACATATATCACTAAAGACATAGCCAGGCTGCATTTTTTCAGATTAAATGTCTCCTTATAAGATGCACGACAGAAAGAATGAGAAAAAAAAACAGCCCCCCCCTCAGGCGTCCAATTTGAAAAAGATGTCAAGACGTTTAATGGCTGACATAACTGGGCCTCCTGGCAGCAGACCAGAACTCAAGTACACAAGAACAGGAGCTGAAACCACTGCAGGTCGACCAGTGAGTTGTACAAGGGTGGGTCAGCTTCAAAGATACAGACGTTTAAACTTACCAGCATTGAACCAGGTGTGAATGATGGTGGAGCCCATATTGCCTATATCCAGGGTATGAAAAGAAAATAATTACCACAGTTTTGTCCAGTGTTTCCTTCAAACAATCCTCATGCTGCAGCATGGTAAGATTAGCAGATACTGTCTGATTTATATCTATTAGCAGAGGCCCTATAGCTTTATTATTTAGACATGCGTTCAACAATTTGTGAACAATCATTTCATATTTACATCGATTCTTCTCTCAAAACTGTGTCTCCAGCTCGCTCCTCTAGTCTCCACTGCCGTCTGTGGCTAATTCTCATCGAGTCTCTTGGCCAAGTCTCGTGTGAGTTAGAGGCGTGTCCGGTCAAGTCAGATTGACATGAAGTAGTTAAGACCTTCACGTTCCATGAGAAAACTTCACATCAAATGTTTGGCAACACTTTTTTGGCACTTTGTCAAGATAAACAGACAATTTGACAATAGACATGAACTTCCCAAGATATTTCGTGCTGCTGTGAATATAAGCGCTCAGCTCACTGATGAGATATTCTAACAGCTGAAAGTGAAACAGCTCTGGCACATTACACTATGCTTTGTTTTTTTAATCAGGAGCATCCTTAATTAGAGACTTGTAAAACTTGTATCACATTAGTATTTTTACTGTATTAAATCAATGGTAATACACCAAGATGTGGATTGCATCAGCCTCTTCCCATCTCCAGCATGCAGCGTGACCAGCACCACCATGCAGCCGGCTGACCTCGAGTGACTGAGGTTGATTTGCATTCTGTTGACACATCACATATTCATGGATATTTAAAATGAATGCATATGGAAAAAGATCAATGCACAGCTTTGAGCCACTTCAAACGCATGTTGAACCGTTCAGATAAAACTGTTTTGTCAGTGAGTCATAACCCAATGGTGTTCCAAATTCACCTGACGTAGTTGGACAGAACAGGAGCCAGGCTCTTTTTAGAAAACCACTTTGTATTTTTAGAGGTAATAAATGTGGGTTAGAGGGAGTCGCTACCACTGCAGCAGACTAGTTCATGTTTCACTCTCGTACTCTCTGGCTGCTGTTAGGAGACCACAGGACAGGAAAACGGGTAGTGGCATGACCGCATTTTCCAAATTGAGGTATCCCAACAAGCTTCCAGTTCCTTTGGACTGGTTTTCTCCTCGCTTCAGTAGTGAAGTAATGACTAAACATTAGGTCTGTAAAAGAAAACACACAGAGTAAGGCCAACAAATGATCCTGCTAAATGTTTTAATATTCTCTGCTGCGTCTAAGTGCATTTTGATTTAATTGTCATACAACACCACTACTGCTTCTCCACTGTGCTTGCAGGTGTCCATCATGGACTAATGCTGTTGCTGGAATACTCAGGACAATCACATCATTAATCCACTGCCTTGCCCAGAAGGATTAGCAGTTTTTCGGATCATTAGGTATAACTGTGTTTATCCAGATGTTTGGCTAACATTATCCAAACATAACAAGTTCCACACTTATCATCACAACTTATTTAGTAGATGAGTTTATGAACATTTAACATCATGGATTCTAAAGCAAGTAAGTTATGACAAATCTGTTTCCAAAAAATACTAAATATATCAGTCTGAATGACACATCTATTAACATTACATATGAATTTTCCATTTGAACAAATGGTGCAGCCATGCAAAAATAACTTGAAGAAATGTTGTTGCTGTTCAAAAAAAAAGGTATTAGTGTTTTAATTTAGTGTTGTATTTCCTGTGCAGCATTTGGCTTCCAGTCACTGCAGGCATAGTGTGTATGCCAACAGTATTTTATCTTTCATGATGAAAATCCAGAGGCATAGCTGCAACATAAGTGCTGTTGCTGACCGTCCAGGGCATGCTAACAAATCATACACACAAAGTAAAATATTATTACATTCATTCAATAGTCTGGAAACTATGACTATAGATAACCAGGATGTTGATCTCTCGCAAAATAATTCATAAGTGCATTTTGTTCAGATACACAAATCATGTGCACTCAGAAAAAAAATCAGTGGGTCGTGTCCTTGTTAAACACCTGTGTGTTTTGAAAGGTAGGTTACAGACCAACGGATATGAACTGTTTGCACTCGGTCCAGCAATGGTGCTAACGAGCGTAATAATGTCTATTAAAATCTGTGGTATCACATTTATTTCCTGTT